TCGTTGATTTGAATTCCATTATTGAAAATTAGGCTATTGACAGTGTGACCCTAACTGAAGTAGTTTGGGCTGATCGGAGCAGAATAAGAAGCTGTGGAGGCTTTCCACACCATTCGCACCTTATTTTAGCCTTCCGAGAATCACATCTCATAACTTCCAGCCGAATGTGTTTATCTAAAATTGGAAGATAATTTATAGTATTTGGAACCTTCAACGCTCCTAAATCATCGATGTTCAACCTGGAGTTAGCGAACCCCCACTGAACGAAAAGCACATAAAATGAATTAGGCGATGTAGACCGAGCTGATTGGTGAGGCAGAATCGATGTTATAAACGATTATCAATTATCAATTATCGAAACGGCATATCCCCTTTTTGATAATTTTGGAATAGTTTAATTACTGCTTCTATAGGCCCTAGGTTTTTAATTCGTGTACCGCGTATATGAGATCAGTGAGCATGCTCCACGGTCTGAAAATACTGTTGTAAACTTTCAGAAATGGTTGTGGTATGTTAAAACATTAATATGGACTATTTTGGAATCAATTTTTACGAATTAGCTTTGGATTTATTTATGCTAAATACAAACAAGCTAATTAAGTGTTATTGTGAGAATTGCATAAATAATAATTTCTCAATATTAAAATGTGTATTCCCTCTTGAAAAACTTGACAGCATTCTTCAATATTTCATCGTGTCCCACGAGTCATCTGGTTGTCTCTATAGAACATAAAGGTAACGAAGCGAGTGTTTTGCTATCCTCAATCATCATACGAAACCTAAAAGCACGAAATCTATGTAGAGTTTAAAAAAAATCATTAACTTCCAGTAGAATGCTATCTTAACTTTCTCGTCAGTACGGCGTAATCCACCAATATATGCTCCTCAAATAGTGGCAGTATGGGGAGGTCCATCATCCTAACGAATAGTTTCTGCTGCAGCAACTGTAAATGCTACGCTTCACTATCGTGGCTCACAAGCAAATGAGCAGCATAGTTTCGGTTGATTTGATTTGCATGAGCATTGTCAAGAACTTATACAATTCTGAGGCGAAATAATATGAAGGAAACTCTTATTCTAAGACCTTGGTGATTTTATTGGACAGGTTAGAATAATGCCACTTTGACGTCCTTTAATGCCTTCGGAATCTAAATGTTTGGTAGCGCATGGAACAGTCAGTTAAAATAAATCAGTAATTCGAATCGGATGAATGAAAAGAGGCCAGTGAATATTCTACCTGTTTAGCTAAAAAATTGTTTACTGTGTTACACTATTTCATAAATCAAATTATAATACTTACCCAATGACATACAGTATCGTAAATTGCTTATATCAACATCGCAAATAAGAATAAACTACATCGTATTATGTTTAAGTTAAATCGTATAGAATGCAAATTTCCGATGAATAATTTTGTGATCGTACTGTATCACAAATTAAATCGGATTACGTCGTAAGGCTTTTCAAATTTAATTTGTTATTACAGATAAAATCGTTTATGATGTTAAATCAACTCGTTTAAAAATAAATTGAAATATGCACGTATATGGCCTCCACGTTTGTACGTATAAGCAATTGTTTTGCATTCAATACGATTTTTTTGTTTATATATATATATATATATATATATATTTATATATCACAGAAACAACTTTAACTATACGTGCATTTTGGTTGTCAGAGGCTTAGTATCGTTCTGATTCCTATTTCGGACACTTAAGACATGTGCTACAGAAATCGACATATACTTTATGGTAACACATTATTTAGTTTCGTTGCATCGATACATTACTGAAGTAACTTTAAATTGAGCTATCTGAGATTATATTTTAAAGTTAATGTCAAGATTTTCCGAAAAAAAAAAAATGTTTTATTTAACTAGGTCTACCAAGATTCAATCTTCGGACACTTGCCTTTGAGGAGATTCAAATTTCGGAATGAAAGAATTAAAATTTTGGACACCCAATTTTGTACATTTTTTTAAACTATGTATGCAATCACTGTATAATCTCATTTTATTCGTTTATTATTCCTATGTTATATTTGAATTCATTTTTGATGCCATTTAATCTCATGAAGTTATATAATGAATGAACAGAATTGTCTTAAACGAAATATGAATCATATTTTTTCACAGCAAAAAATAATTATTCATATTTCGGACACTTTATTTTTAAATAATTTTGGAAGCGCGTTAATATTTTCGCCATTGTTATAATTAAGGAGCGATACCTTTAATAAATTGTTGTAAACTAAACTAAAGGAACAAGCGTGATACATTTTTAATGCTTATATCATATAGGTGCATAGGTATTTCAAGATATAATTATAAAATGTTCGAAATTTGAAGGTGTCTCAAATATTAATCAGTACGGTACAACATTAGCTGAAAATTAGGGGGAATCAGTAATTCAACTTCAAAATCCAAGCAAAAGCTCGTACATCTGTTGAATGTTTTAATAGTAAGCATCATAGTTACGCATTAAAGTTCGATGCGAAAATGAGCAGATATGTGATAGCAGCGCACTTTTATTACTATACAGGTTCAAGCAGAACGATGCACAATCAAGAGATACTCAATAATGACGTCTGTGTTAGGAAAAACGTTTATTTCATAATAACAGTGACAAAATCATCACTTTTTATTTGTAAAATTTTCAAAAGTTTTTCAATGGAAAATGGAAAACAAATTACTTCAGCAGATTTGTAGAGTTATGTCTTATCGTTTGGTGTATTTGGTTTTTAATTTCAGCTAGAAATGGCAAAGTTATAAATGTTCAAAACCTATCACCTCTTCGTGACGGTTGCAATTTTATATTTTCGATTTACTCCCTGTACCTTCCCGTAAGACGTAGTCTACGTCACAAATCCATAAATCAGTGAATGTTCCATAAATAATTGAAGAATTTCCAATTGAAAATCAAAACATCAAAATGGGCACCAAAAGAAGTTCCAAATACAATAGAATAATAAAAAAGTGTGAAAAAGCGCATATAAAATATTAAAAAAATGCAATAAATAACAAAAAAAGAGAATGCATTTTTTAAATCATTAATTGCATCTTTGCAATAATTTTTTACTCCTTAGCAAGCAGGTTTATTCGTAAAAATGATCGCTTTAAGTGCAAGGTATGAATTTTTTAGGTTTCCATTTATAATTATCCCGTAATAACTCATTAATCGAACAATATTCCACGAGCATCAACATTTTTTTTTCTTTCGGTGTCCTCACTAAGGGGCCTCATACACAATGCCAATTCGTTCAACAAAAGTGACATTTTTATATAAATCATAAAACTTTCCACACGACAAATTCCTCCTCAACGCGTTACTTTTACAGCTGCTCTGCTCCGTTCATTCGGTTGGATGCCATTATTCGCTCAGGAACTCGAAGAGACAAGGCGTCGACGGGGAAAAGCAGATGGAAAACAAAGACCGCCCTTTGCCCACCGAATAGTTTTCCCGCTGGCATTACAACCCCGTTCCCCCACGCTCCACCCAGTCTCTGAATGATGATGAATATGTCAAGTGGGAAATGGTGGAGAAATGATACATTCTTACGTCCCCCGTAAATCAAATCTATCGGTGTGTTTGTGTGTCATGAAATCCCCAAAAGCTGCCTCCCAAGCCCCCGAGGGTGTTTGACTTTTAGCACACCAACCCAGACGCATTGCCGTCCATTAAAGTACCTTTGCCTTATTCAATCTGAATAATGCAGTGCTGCAAATGTGGTCCGATGTCTGGACTTTTGGCCTCCCCCTTCGTTGTACAACTATGAACGGAGAATGAAGTGCCATAAATATTTTATGGATGCTTAACACCGAAAATGTTGGTAATTTAATTCCCTCCATAACTGGCTCACTCGGATATTGACCCGGGGTTGGGGACTCCCATCAATCGTTCTATTACGAGGAACGGGAGACGATCCGTGTTTAAGTTTAGAGAAATTTCACTTTCAAGAGCTCTTGAATATTGCTTTCCTAGACTAGGCAAGGCATTCACTGCATTCACTGCGGTCACTTTCCACAAAATTTATTACCGATACGCTTGAGTGGGCTCGTTCTTCAACGGACTTCAATAGGTAGAATGCAAAGCACGTCCGGAAGAATTCACATGGACTCTATCGGGGCATGTGTGTTCCGTAAATTAGCTTCGCTCCAATGCGGCGGCTGCTGAGAAGCCTGCCCAGACTCATTGTGTAACGAAGGTTACGCACGTTGGAATATCTCTCTAGTGGAAAATTCACCACCTCCCTGTCATTCCGGAGGGCATCGTTCCACCCAGGTTGCATTGATTTTTGGGGAAGAACCACCCGTACACGGCTCATTCATTGCTTAAGGACGAGCCGACAGGCAGAGAGTGATTTGATTTCCCATCAGTCTCGCTTTGTCTCTCTGGCTTGGTCTCAGTAGGCCATGCCGCAAGAGTCAAGTGCGAAAAGGGTTGGAACTAAGCTAATAAATGGAAAATGCTACTCGATGACTGTGGATGCCTCCGCTGGGCGTCGTCGTTTGTTCGTTCGTTCGCTCGGTAGGCCGACGATGGTGATGTGATGTGTGATGACCAGGCAGAATGTTATGGATTGGGTAATGGGAATTGTACGGATAAGCTAGTACGGAATTTTGCTTCCATTCCGTTATAGTGATGGAGTTTTCAACCCGAAAACCACAAAGTTTGCCTTTGCGGGTTTCAGAAGTGATCTGTTGCAATATGGATTTTCTCTAGCGCTTATGAGATGGATTGTGGTTGGAAAGGTATGACTTTACGAATGTTGACTTTCACGAGTATAAATCGCATTTCCTGGTAATCTAAGGGTGACCTTAACTACGTGTCAAAATGTGTTGAATTGAATGTATGAATGAATAAATTATCATTAATATTTTCGACATTAGTCGTTCCTAATTAGTTGATTCCTAGAGTTTAGTGTTAAGGATTCTTAAAGCAATACAGATTGGATGCATTTTCTTTCAATCAAATACCTCTTTTGATTGGTTCGTTTAAATATTTACAGCATTATTTAATCTCTCATAAACGTAACATCAAAGAAACGATCATTCTTAGAACCATCCCTTCTTCTGGGTTTTCTTGATGAGTAAAGTCACTGGCACAGGCTTTTCGATGTACACTGGCTTATCGATGTACACTGGAACGTGCTTCTCAACATGAACTGTGTATGGTTGTGGCACTTCAACGTATTCCTTCTGGATAACTGGGACCTTCACTTCCACTTTGTATGGGACTGGTCGGTCAACGTGGACTGGGACCTTCTTCTCGACATAGATTGGCACTTTCTTCTCCACATAGACTGGAACCTGCTTTTCGACATGTACTTGGTATGGGACCTTCACTTCATATGGCACGTGTTTCTCGACCTCGACTGGGTATGGAACAGGAACATTCTTGGTGACTGTGGTGATATGCTGGTGCGCCTCTTCTTGGTGGCCGCCTCCGAAGTCGAAGGATTCGTGTCCACCATATCCTTCATCCCAAAGACCGCGTTTATCTTTCTTGGAGGAATCGTCGACTGCCGCACATGATGCAATGGCCAAAGCCATGGACAACACAACGAACACCTGGAAAGCAAACAAGTCGAAACGAATTAATTGCTCTTACTGATTACAACGTTAGTTAGGTAAAGATTGTTTCACTACCTTCATTTTTTGAGCGCTTGATTGAATGAACTGCGCTCCAGTGGTTTTCGGACTGAACTCAACTGCTGAGATGGCGGTCGGCGAATGATGTCTTGTCGTTCGAAAGGTTTGATTTTTATATTGTTGCACTGAAAAGGTTTGGCAAATCATGGATTTCGTAAGTTTGATGTTTGCGCAAAAGAGCAGGGGTTTCCGAATGCAGTTGTTGTGAATTTTCGTTCAAGTTGGGTGGATCAGATTAGCGAAATGTGCATCATGCGTTGCTTCCCATGTTCGACCTTCATCTTGCCATGAAGATAGTCTTGGTTACAGTGAAGAAAACATATTTGCTAATTCCAAACGTATGAAATTAGGATGATGTGTTTACGCTTGTTGAGATGAAAGTCTAATTTCTTGTTGTCAGCAATAAACGGCTATGCATCTTCTTGGTTCTATTAAACATCGAAGATGAACATTCACTGCGTTATTTCTTTAAGTCAGAGGAGATCTAATTTTTCGGCATACTGATATGAGAACGAAACGTAAGATATTTAAACATTTGCATACATAGTATTTATAATTTGTAATGATTCGCCGCATGAACAGATTATATTATCTGATCGTTGAAAGGTTTGTTAAATAATTTTGTTAGCTATGTTAGTAAGCGCCTTGAAAATTATCTCGAGTAGAAAGAGAGAGATAGAAGGGTTAGTAATTTCCATTTAATTCCAATACTTTATTAGTATTATCCTTGTCAGATACGCAAATTTCGTCTACAATGTGTAGACTTATTCAGTGACTAATACTCGACTTCAAGCACTGAAGAAGTCTGCACATTGTAGACGAAGGCTATACATGCACTACCTCTTCGAATTTTCAATTACACACATTTCAGAAATTAATGCCTCAATTCACCTGAAATGCTACTTTATGTATGCTGCAGTCACAGACAAACAGACGTAACTCTTTGAAAAACTTGTTCTTGAAAACATAGTATCTCAAAACATATAACCTCAGTAATGACATCTATCTGGCTTCTCGCGGAAAACAAGCTTGCTCGCTAACTCGTAAACAATATTGCATAAAATTTCTATAGAATATATAGAAACGTCAAAGTGATACGATGCCAGCGCTGCGGCGAGTAGTTCGCGGAACTGATAATATTCAAATCAACCGTTAAATGCATGAACGAAGATACACAATGAAGAGTTACGTCTGTTAGTCTGTGCTGCAGTTATTTGCTTATCTTTGATCGATACGCCTATTATGATAGCCTTCGTTTCAGCCATTTGTGGACTCTACAAGGAATCCCCTTAAAAAAAAATTACTAATCCGTCTCTCTCTTTATGCAGGTATTCCACTAAGACGCCCACATTCATCAGGATATCTCGTGTAAGTTTTACACGATAATATTCATTCTGGAAAAAAATTGCTTGTGCGCTACAGTCCATTGTAGGTACTGTCATTATATTTGTTATATGAAGCATATTCAGAGGATAGGATTTGATTTTTTCAGTTCAATAAAATAAATAAAAATTGTGTATGGAAACTACATTTAGTGAGTCAGTTAACTCAAGAGATATTTTTTTATAATAATAAAGGTACACTCGTACTGCCATAACGCTTTGAACTGTACGATGTTTATTTTGATAATATTTTTTTTTAAATCTACAGTTTACAGTTGCTACTAATCCAAGATTTCTTCCAAGTAATCTTCAATGTTTTGTAAGATTTAAATTTTAGTATTTTATATTTGTATTTTGTGCACGAGGTTCAAACCATTGTAAGTGTCCAGATACACGATCTATTTTGTTTATTACCAGTGTCCAATGCCTATTGGTAGCTTATCACTGCCGGCAATCGAGTGCCAGGAAGGCAACTTTCACACCTGGACCTACTGAATTTCTTCGTTTCAGAAGAATCCTATCGATTTCGGCTGGGATTGAACTCAGACACACTGGGGTGAAAAAACGATCGGTTAAAGTTGCATGTTAAACGGATAATGTCAGTTTATTGTGAATAAAACTTAAAACCAACCTTCTTTTAATCTAGTACTTCTTCAAGTTTTTCCTAGCTGGTGGGTGAATCCTGGAACAGCCATTCACTAATTAACCAATCAAGAGAAAGCAAAACATAAAGACAAATACCAATACGTGTACGCGATCACGATACTGGTACGTTCAAACTATGCGCTGTTGGGTTAGGTCAGAAGTAAAAAGGAAAGAATATAAGTGCATGGCGCATTGGGTGATTTCTATGAAATTTGATGCCATGAGACCGTTTGTCGAATGGTGCAACATGGATTACAATTTAAGTTGACATTTTGGTGCCTGGGAACACAAGGGCATCGGTTTGATTGCAGCACTTGTATGGTATAGGTATAATCGAATAGCTGCGAATTGACATTACCCAGATTTGTTTGTGGGAACATGCCTTGTACGGAAATATGAATAAGCGCATCCAACTTGCGCGTGGGAATGTTCAATTCCTTTTCAAGAGTTTCAAGAGGATTGTAAATTTCGTTGGAAAACATTAAGATCACTGATTTATGATCGTAGGGAAATCCAGCACCTTCAGACATGCAATCTAGGTGGATATAATTGTTAAATCCTCGGTGTGACGTTTTATTAACTTGTTGTCTTCGGCAAAGTTGCTCAGCTGTACATTATTGCATTAGCAAATGTCACCATCTTAGCGCCCCTCGATGGAACTTTTTATGGGAGCGAACTGTCAATTTGTTAGTTTAGTGTCAAACAGTGAAGTAATTATTTAGCTTTGAACCTTGATTTAAAATCGAGATGAAAGTCTAGAGGCATTCTACGAAGGCTCGTGAATCAATACTAAATAGCGGTGCCAGTGGTGATAAGCGTAATTTTTTTTTGTATTTATTTAAGACATTTTACTTCCACAGATGAATTCATGTCTGGTGTGAGTGTTAGTCTTCTTCTTCTTATTCGCTTTTCAAGCTTATTGCTTAGCGCATATAAGCTTATTGCGTGCTCTCAACTTAGTGTTCTAAATGCACTTCCACAGTTATTAATTGAGAGCTATCGATGCCAATACCAATGCATGAATTTGTATATTGTGTGGCAAGCACAATGATACTCTATGTCCAGGGAAGTCGAGAAAATTTCCAACCCGAAAAATTCCCTCGACCGGACCGGGAATCGAACCCGCCACCTCGCTTGGTAATACCGTGCCTTTACTGACTAGGCTATTAGGCCCCCAGTTAGGCTCAGAGTGTTAGTGTTTATGGTTAATTGCACTTAGATTTGTGTTGTCTCCTTCTGGTTCTTCGTTGATCATTACATTTCATCTCTTTAATTTCTTCTTCTAAATTAATTTCACTTTTACTTCTTCTATCGCTTTCTTCATCATCTTCGTTTTTTCCGTAGTCTTCGACCGTTTCTTGTTATTCGCCATCATGATATTTTGTTGACGGGTCTCTTTTATCTTGCTGAATCGGCTGCGTCATCTTCTTATATCTTCTTCACTTCTAATCATTTGTAGCTTGTTTGGTATTCTTCTTCATTCACTTTTAATCTTTCTTCTTCTTTCTTCTCACCATACTTCAAATTATTTTCTTTACTTCTTCATCATCTTCTTTCTTCATCTTTCTTTAATTCCATTGCTTTGATTTCCTCTTCCACGTCTTCACGATTTCTCCAATTTTCCATCGGTTTGGTCTTCTTCATTTCGCTATTTTCCGCTTTATCCTCTATTTTCCGCTATTCTTTACATGACCGTATCAATTTTGTCCAGCTCAGTTCATCTTCTTTATACTTCATCTAGTTACATGTTTGCCTTCATCACATTCTTCCTTCCTTCCTTGCTCAGTTAACTGCTTCACCTTCTTGCCTCTACACCGGGTTTCGGCTCCTCCATCTTCTTCACATTCTTCCTTCCTTCCTTGCTTCGATAACTGCTTCACCTTCTTGCCGCTACACTGGGCTTCGGCTGCTCCAACTTCTTCACATTTTTCCTTCCTTCCTTGCTCCGTTATCTGTTTAACCTTCATTGCCACTAATCCGGGTCCCGGCTGTTCCTTCTTCTTTTCTCTGAATCCTTCAAATTTTTCGGTACAGTCCAGTTTGCCGTAGAAAACTCAGCAAATTGGTGGTTTGCTCCTCAGAGTTTCCAAGCGCATCTCTTAAGCTTGTTGTGTAAATTTTTTTGATTTTTTTTTTTTTTAATTTGTATTTCTTTAAGACATTTTACATCCATAGATGCATTCATGTCTGTTTCACTTTTGTGTAATGATGTGTGGGTGTGAGTGTTAGTGTTGATGGTTGATTGCACTTAGCTTTGTTTCGTCTCCTTCTGGTTCATCGTTGATCATAACATTGCATCTCTTTTACTTCTTCTTCTCAATGAATTTCATTTTTACTTCTTCTACCTTTTCTTCGTCTGTTTTCTTCATCATCTTCGTTTTTGTTCGTAGCTTTCATCCGTTTCTTGTTATCCGCCATCTTGATATTTTGTTGACGGGTCTCCTTCATCTTGCTGAATTGGCTGAGTCATCTTCTTATATTTTCTTCACTTCTGATCATTTGTTACTAAATGGTATTCTTCTTCATTCACTATCTTCTTCTTTCTTCTCACCATGCTTCAAATTATTTTCTTTACTTCTTCATTATCTTCTTTCTTCATCCTTCTTTAATTCCATTGCTTTGATTTCCTTTTCCACGTCTTCACGATTTCTCCAGATTTCCATCGGTGTCGTCTTCTTCATTTTGCTATTTTCCGCTTTATCTTCTTGATCTTCTTCGTCTTTTTGCACTTAATTTGGCGTTCCGCCTTTACTTCATCATAATTTTTCTTTTGATCTTCTTCTTATTATTCTTCTTCTTCCATCCGCTATCCGCTTTGTATTCTTGATGACCTTCTTTACTTGATCTTCATCCAGTTACATGTTTGCCTTCATCACATTCTTCCTTCCTTCCTTGCTCAGTTAACTGTTTCACCGTCTTGCTTCTACACCAGGTTTCGGCTGCTCCATCTTCTTCACATTCTTCCTTCCTTGTTTGCTCCGTTATCTGCTTAACCTTCATTGCCATTACACCGGGTTTCGGCTGTTCCTTCTTCTTTTCTCTGTAT